TATCAATGCCCTTATTTTGTAAGGTTTTACCTATACACAACATTTTTCAGCTGAATCACTTTCCCAGGGTCCTTTTCTACCTAGCCAAAGCAGCAAGCCTGAACCGTGATTATAAACACCTTGACACTTTGTAAAAGGGTATCAACGCCCTTACTTTGCCAGGTTTTATACACCATTCCCCCCTCCACCGTTCTCAGGGCTCCTCCCCACCACGCGCGATTCTGCGATCTTACCGCCCTGGGCCAGCGTCAGCCCCTCCTCGGTGGCCGCCTTGCCGCAGCCCTTGGCCGTGCAGGCCCTGATGTAGAACTTGTACTTGGTGCTGGGGCTGAGCCCGGCCAGGTGCCAGCTCAGCGCCGAGCGGTTGGTGACGCTCACGTCGCTCAGGGCGCCCACCTCGCGCGTCTCGTTGACTGCAAGGCAAGGGCACCCCTGTCACTATGGAGTTTTGGCTTCTTTTCCTGCCAGAGTCGGCATTAAAAGCTCAAGATGGCGTTTCTTGGTTGGACTCAGTTATTGTTTTAGTTATTAGTTCTTATAAACTGGGAGTTTTACAGCACCTCGAGCTAACACGGTAAAAATGGGAACGTATCTCTCTCTACAAGGCCTTTTAAGGACCAACCATCCAATTAAGAAAAGCCACCTAAATTATTTTTACTTTTAACCCAATAACCAACCACCCGTGGCCCACAATGCAGATTTTTCTATCAATTTTTCTATCAATTTTCTACCAATTAAACCAGAATCATGAAGAAGGGGACGAAGGACAAAACCTCCACCCTAAAACCTCCGTTACGTTAGGTGTAATTTGCCAATATGAAATAATTGAATCAGCCCGTAAGTGTGGGATGGGGAATGGCAGCAATGGGAGCTCCCATGGGAAGAAGTGCATGGAAAACTTTCAGCTCTGGGAGCTGACTGCAGCCTGCCCTCTGGCAGCCCCTGTGCACATCACACCTGGAGCTTTCTCAACTAATCCTGCTTCAATTCTGAACTCAAAGCAATCGAGGCACGTACTTATCTGGTACTGCAGAATGTAGCCAGTGAGGTGGCCATTGGCTTTCTTGGGAAGTCCCCAGGACAGAGTGACTGAGTCCTTGTCAAAGTTCAGGATCCTGAGAAAACGTGGCTGTTCAGGGACTGGAAGACACAGGGATGAGCTTTCAGAGGAGAGTGAACAGGTCTGTCCCTACAAATTATTATTAAATGAGGATATCATTTAGCTCAACACCCACAGCTCCCCTTTCAAGGGAAGAGTTCTATGAATAGCAGAGTTTTTATTATTGCCTTAAATAAGGGAATCAACTCACCTTGTCCCAAGGGCAGTTTCAATTTATGTCCCTCCATCCCATACTTTCCTCTTGGCTTACCTCCTTCTGGAGTTTCAAACACCACAGGGGTGCTCTCGGGGCCATCTCCTCTGGAGTTGAAAGCCAAAACTGTCAGGCGGAATTCACTGAAGGGGTCCAGGCCAGGAATCATCCCAGAGTTCCTGTCTCCCACAAACGTCAGGAAGTGTTTCTCTGGGTGATGCCTCTTTCCATCCAGCATGCTTTTTGTTTTCCACCAGCTGACCTGCGAGGAGATTGGGATTTCTGTAACAAATCTTGTTGTGTGAGGATGAGCACGATCATGATCTCTCTCACCTTCCCAAAAGTGAGAGATTTCAATCTAGGACTCATTTAATAATCTATTCAACAATATACAAATATTTATAGAGATGTTTGTAACCTTGTAGCCTCTTAAGTGCCCACGAACTCTGTCCCTTGGTATCCCAAACCAGAAAACTCTGACCAGGGTGCTGTTCACAACCTCCACCGACACGCCCGAAGGAGCAGCATCTGGAACTGTAAAAACAAAAGTCCCAGGTGTTAAAAACACTTCCAAGAGCCCAGATTCACATTGTTCACAGCTCCAGGGCTTGGCTTTCCAGCTCCAGCTGTACCACTTCATGCAATCTCACTGCAGGCAAGCAAAAAGCCATTCCACCTGCATCCAGTGGGTGGAATGGGCCAATAAACATTATTTTTGTGTATTTTTCTGCTGAGAGTTGGGATACATGTGCACTGGGACATATGAATTTCTCCACCAGTATTTATGATTTCCTGTTTCAAGCAATGCTTACAGCAGTGAGAAGAATAAAAGAAATGATTAATATGGCACTCAAGAAGGCAATAATAAAGGTTTTTTTTATAATCAATTTCATTTTACAACTAAGCTCATTAAACAGTAGGATTTTAATCACTGCATAACACAGAGAGCTATTACAGTGCCTGAAAAAAGGGGGCCTTGATCCATTGAAAACTGAATTGTGAGGAAGATTTTCCACTGGTAGATGTAAAATTAGACTCATCACAGAGAGACAAAGAAAATAAACGTGATGTGGAGTTTTTTTCTTCTTGCTCTTCTCCACCACCAGACCCTCCTGTTCCCACCTCTGGGTGGGCAGTGAGATTCTCCTGAGTCCATTTCCAGCACTGAAACTCCACCTGGGAGCCATGGAAAGCCATGGGCCAGAAACCCAGGCTGGAGAAGGTGACAAATTCTTCAGGGACTCATGGACAAGGTAACACCAGCACACGTGGGAACGTGGCATTGTCTGCAAATTCACTCAAACACCCAGTGCCTGCGAGTTTGTCCCTAATTGTCAGAGTATTTAACTTCTGACAGCGTTAAACTGTTGGGTCAAGCATCAGAGAACCCAAAGATTTTTTTTTTCCTACCACGTACAACACAACTGCTACACTTCAGAGACTCCTCATGGACCGTGGCCTTCAAACAAGTGCCCAGACTAAACCAACAACTGAGATTAATGAGAGCACAAGTGACCTTTCCAAAAAAAACCCCTCACACTGCAGCAGGCTGGCATCCAGGCAGCCAGCACGGGTCATGTCCACGCCTCATGGAGCCCATCAGGCTGAGCACTGCCATTCCAGCAGCTCTGGGCTGCCTCATCCATCACTCCACACCCATTTTTACTCACCATCCTCTCCTGAATATCCAATGGTGATGTTTGGTTCGGGGCCAGATCCTAAATTATTGACAGCCTGGACTTTGATCTCGTAGGGCACGAAGGTGGGCACGTTCCTCACGCTCAGGGAGTGCTTCTTCACCAGCTCCTCGTTCCAGTCAGTCTCCACACCCCGCTGCCTCCAGCTGACTTTGTACTCCAGCCCTGGCCCGTTCCTCTCCACGGGCTTCAGAGGCTGGGGAAAAGTCAAAAGAGATCTTGTCTGCCTGTGTTAAAACCACAAAACAGCAGCCGAGGGGAGGGGGGGGATGCAGGAAATAGAAAAAGTAGAAGGCTCTCAAAAAGCTGTGGGAAAGCAAATCTCAGAGTGAAGAAATGCAAAAAAGTCGGGGGTGCAAGGTCAGGAAATAACAGATCTGTGTAGAGACAGGCCTTAGAAAATGTGCTAAGCAAGAATTATGTAAGCTTAATAATGAAATTTCATCCATTGTTTTAAACCATTACAAGTAAGCATTGTTAGAAGCAAGAGTAGGTGTAAGAATACTAATTGTCTAGAACAAATGCTTGTCAGCATTTAATATTATCTTAATGACTAAAAAAACGTTTAAAAGACCATGTAACTAAGAACAACTCGTCTAACTGTTGTAAGCAGCTAAAGCTGTTTCCATCTCCCTTGTTTGGTTCTGTAAAAATGAGGGTGATGGCTGTAATGGAATAAAAGCTTTGAGACAGCTGCTCCAGCAGACTTGTTGTTTGTACATACATATATATATATGTATATATGTATGTATGTAAATACAGAGTAAAAAAAAATCCCAAAACCAACAGGGAAAAATTTTGGAATATATGTTACAACACCGAGAGAGAAAAGAGGCAAAACCCCCAAGCTTTGGCTTTTTGCTGTCATTTTAATTTGAGGGTGGTTGGAACAACAACATCATGAGTTCAAGTGAAAGAAGAGTGAAAGGCTTGGATTAAAATCCAGATTAATTGCTAGGAGCTGTATTTCTGCCTCCTACACCCATCAGGTTTTGTTTTGTCACAGGTTTTCCTGTGTGAGGTAAAAACCACATGCCTTCAGCACAACTGAGTTGCAGTTTGGCATAAGGCTGTGTGTGCCTTTTAGCAGAGATAAAATTTGCATTTTATCCTAGAATTTTATGTAGCACAGCGAGTTGGGTCATTAAAATTTAGATTTGTTCTAACTATACACCAAATGCTTGAAATTATGCCTGGACATTTAATGTGCAACTGCTGAGCCACTCTGCTTTTACCAACCAGCTGGAGAATTCATCCCAGCAGGGTTTCCAGATAATTAACATGAATTTATAAAATATTAGGAGATGTATAGCAATAATTTGTCATGAGACATCTTCAAGTTGAGTTTATTTCTCTGAAAATGCACTACTTTAATTAAGAAAGTCAAATAATCACCTATCCTACCAAAAAAGCTACACACTGAAACAGCTGTGGGTGTTTCCCATAGGCTTCTTTTAATAGTATTTAAATATAGGCAAATGTGAAATATATAACAGCTGGTTTGTATCCAAGTGGTCTGAGAGGAAATTGCATCAAATGCCAGTAGAAAGTGATTCCTCTTTGATGCTCCTCGTGCATGGGGAGATCTAAATTTGGGGGATCTGCAAAAATTCCCACTGATCTGCTCTGCTCTGAGAACCTTTGGGATGTCTGTGGCAAAGGAATTGGGAGACTGAGCAGCTTCCTCACAGGCACCACCTCCACAGCAAAGATCCCAGGGAATGGGATTTGCAAAAGAAGCTGAAAAAAATTCCTCCCAAAAAATGATTTCTTGTATAGAGTTAAATTGCAGCACTGCTTGACTCTTATTTTGATCCCCCTTAAAGCTGCAAATCCTTGGCTGAAAATCCCAGTCACTAGAGCTCAGCTGGACTCTTAATCCAAACTAGGCAGATTAACATCATTCTGCAGCCTTTGTCTGTCAGAAATAGCATGTGCAGTGCCCAGCAGTTCCCCTGAAAAGCACACAGGAAATGCCATAAATAAATGAATATCCTGTTTAACAACATTTTAATGATTCAACAAGATTTAACCAAGCCTTTCCATCCCATTCTCTCCTTTCAGGCTCAGCTTTCACTTCCACTTTTGCCCTGTCTGAGCAGTGATTATGAAGCTCCTGGTGCTCAAAGATGTGTTGGCCATCCCAGTATTTCCCAGTAAACACACTGGGTACTAAAACTCTGCATTCCATTGATTCATTGAAGTTGGAAAAGACCTCCAAGATCAAATCCAACCTTTTTCTGAGAGGCAGAATTGTCTCCCCTGACCCTGGGCTAAAAATCCCATTCAAATCCAAGCCCATGGATCTTGAGGGCCATCTCCTTTTGGATGCAATTTTACCCCAAACTACGACTTCCCACTGCAGAAACATTTGTTGTTCTTTGCTGGGAGCAGCAGATTGAGGAGTAAATCTCATGCAAATTGTGTGTAATTCCAGCCTCAACAAAAACCTGCTTCCTTCCACAGTTGTGGATATTTGTGTTAAATGAAGGAATACATAACTCAACTGCTGGCAAAGAAGCTCGAGGCTTAAAACCCAGGAAATTTGAAGTCTGGAAACCATCCTCAAGACTTTTCCATAATTCCTTTGATGCACATCACAGGCTTTGGAGGTTTATCCACATGCCTTTAGTTCTTGGTGTAAAAATTCAAGCTCACATTCTCTTGGGCAATGGATCTGTGGCGTTTTTAAACTTCCAGGCTGGAAGGGCAGAAGCCATGAGCCACCCATCCTCTCCCTGGGCTTGGCTGGTAATTTTAATTGCAGAGCAGGGTAAGACCACAATTATTTGAAGCAGTTTCTTGCAAACAAGAAGCAGAGAAGAGCACATTTTTGGCAAATTCTCACTATGCTTTACAGGAATTCAGTTTTCTTTTTTTTTTTTTTTCCTAATATCCTGTAAAGGCAGACATAAAAACAGTCTTTTGAAACAAAAATGATACTGGGGCAGAAAATCCGGAATACATTTAAGTCAAATTCACCTTTCAGAAGAATAAAGGATTGTTCCTATAGGATTTGCTAATCTTGCCTTACCTCCCATTTCATCACCATTTCATTGGGTTCAGAAGCTTCAACTCGGATGTTCTCTGGGTTTTTATCTGGAGCTGAAACCACACAGGTGACAAGGTTAGTTTGCACATCCCATTTATTTGCATTTAGCATTTAAATGCCAAAAAGGATGGGAAATTCCCCTGTTAGTGACAGACATTTAAACAAAAAACGAGATGAATTACTTGGATCAGCAAAGCTGATGGGACCCAAACATGTCATTTATGCAGTTTGGATTCCTAAGTGCCCCTGCTGGTTGGAGCCACCAGCTAACAGGGAACTATGACTTTTGGATTTGAAAGCACCAGGTGTGGGGGAATTACAAGGAAGATTTTTCTCCTATGGGGATAGCAAACAGAAGGTGCATCATTAGAGGTACACACACACAGCTGCAAAGTGAAGAAGGACCTGAAATTGGTGTAAACCGAGGGGAAAAAAAAAAAAGAGAGAAAATGCCAAGGAATGCAAATGCTGTGCTGAACAGGTGGCCTCTAAAATGACTTCCAGGGAGACAACATTTTCTGCCCCAGTGAATGCTTGGTAAATGAAGATTTTTGACAAGCTTAGTGCTCCTGAAAGGCTCCCTGTAAACCCATCCCTTCTCCAGGAACTGTCCATGAAGGTCTGCAATGGTGGGAAATCAGCAGAATGAGGTGCTGGAGGTGTAGGAAAACCCAGCAGCATGGACTCCTTCCTTTGGCATCCTTGGGAATTTTATGCAACACGGGAAGTTGGGTCATTAAAATTTAGATTTGCTCTAACTGCACATCAAATGCTCAAAACAATGCCTGGAGATTTGATGTGCAACTGCTGGGCTGTTCTTTTTTACCAATCACTGAAGAATTCATCCCAGCAGGGCACCCATCTCAATAACTGAAATATCAAAATACGGCTTGTCATCCTCCAGCTGATTTTACCTCTCTGAAAATGCACTGCTTTAGTTAATACACCCCATTTCAATGGTCACCTGCCCCACCAAAACTGCTGAGGGTTATTCCAGTCCACTGAACTACCTACTTTTAATAATCCTTGATGCTACCACTGAACAGTGCCAGCCACCCTGATATCTTCACGCCCTCTGGAGCAGAGGGAGGGCTCAGATATTCCAAAAGAAGCAGAGCAAATAGTGCTATTTATGAAAGCAGAGGCAGGTTTACCAGCTGGAGGGGTCGCATAACGCAGGGAGGGTTTGCTGGGCTGGCTCCTGCCCACGGCGTTGACGGACACCACGCGGAACTGATAATTGACATAGGGGGCCAGGGACAGCAGGGCTGTGCTGGCATTCCCTGGCACTCTGCTGAGCTCCTGCCACTTCCCCGGCTCCCAGTGGTTCTCTTCAAACTCTATTATTGACTCTGGGCAGGAAAAGAGATAGAAAACAAAGGAGAAAAGGTTAAAAAAAAAAAGAGAACAACTTAAGCGTGAGCAGCGCGGGTGGAAATGAACTTACAGCAAATGAACTGTCATAAAATTAAAAATAATTAATAAAGTCATTAAATCTGTCAGCAGGGTTCGTGTCCTGTGACAACCAGGATGTGCCAGAATTCTGAAGAGCCCTAAAAAACGATGCTGCAAAGCCCTTCCTACCATTAACAGGGCTGTTATGGCTGGCCCCAGCCTTCCAGGAGAGGCGAACGCTCCGGTTTTGGTTTTCTGAGAGCTGGAGGTCTTCTGGTGGGTCAGGAACATCTGAGAAATAAAGGAGAAGTGTCAGGGGCACAGCAAGGTGTTTCTGTTTCTGTCCTGGCTTTTCCCAGAGGGTTGGAACAGCACAGCCAGTGAAGATGGTGGTGAAACACCTCCTGATTTCCAGATGGACAGATTGTGGGAAGTGGGAATTGCTTTGAATGATCCCAAATCTTCTGGTGCTGATTTTTCCCTTATAAACACAAAATCCTTCTCAAATTCATCTCCCTCTACCTGCATCACTGTGCTCGCAGCAACAGATTTTTCTTTCCAAATCAAGCCCCAGATCTGCTTGATCATTAATGGGTATTGACACTGCTGTGGGCAGGATGTTGTGTCAGCATCACTTGGATTTATCCTGGGAAAAATCAGAGTGGGAAAAGGTTCTCAGGAGTTATTGAACTTGGCCTTCGAGGGTGTGAGTGCAAGGAGAATATTCGTTATCCCAAACATAGTGATCTACATTAATGGGGAACTGGGAAATTCACTGCCTGCCTGCTCAACTACTGTTGTCCCAACTAAACTTTTGAGTGACAAAGTCATTTCTTACAGAAAATGCAGTGACTTCCACCACCACGACTCTCTTTGTCATTGTGAAAAAAATCCACTGTGTTTGTACTGATTTTTAAAAAATTACAATATTGAGTTTTCGTCTCAGGGTACATCAAGAAGTTAAAAAGTTTATATTGGGAATTTTTTTTCTTTTTTTTTCAAATTTCTTTCCCTATTTCTCTTGTACCTGGGAAAAAAATCATGAAAGCACAGTTTGATCTACAGGCATGTTGCTGCTCTATCCTTGGAGCACAGCTGGTTAAAATTCATTATTCATTATATTAATTTAAAGATGGTGATGATGCATCTTAAATATTCTCACCCCTCTACCTGGTCATTAGACACACAACAAATACTTAGAATTATTCTAACTGAATATTTATTTTACTCTTAGTTGCCCCTAATCTGATGTCTCCATTTCATTCTTCAGTCAGCCCTCAAGTCCTTGATTGCAAAAACCTGAATTTTTCCCTTGGAAAATAAGAGATGTTGTTAATTCACCAAGACCTTTCTCATATACAATAAATAAGGGAAAAGAGCACAAAACTGTTTTTCTTCTTCTGCAAAGCACCTTTTTAAAAAGGAATAAAGTGCTTTATGAAATTTTCATAAGTGAAGTAACGAATAGTCTACAAACATTTTGAATTATACAGCACTGAAGGACACAGCACCATAAATAATGTGCTCAGCATCTTCCTAATTTACTATTTACTGAAAAATATCACTCCTTTAAAGTGGAAAAACATCTTGAAGGGCAGATTGACTTATTTCTTGCTGCAATCATTGCCAGCAATAAATAAAAATGCAAAATGAAGCAAAAATAGATGTAATTAAAATGATGCAAAGCTGTCAGAGAATCATAAAATCACAGACTGCTTTGGGTTGGGAAGGAACCTTAAGAATTATCTCATTCCAGCCCCTTTCCCTTGGGCAGGGACACCTCCACCTGGACCAGGCTGGCCAAAATTGTGACCACAAAGCAGAATTTTGGCTGCTGCCCTTAAGGGGTGCACAAGCTCATCCTGGAAATTCCAAGTGCTCCTTCAGACAGGGATGCAGGATGTGAGGATGCTCTCACAAGGCCAAGCTTCAGACCCAGGGGGTCAAGGCTTCTCTCTGCTCTTTGCTCCTGGACAATCATTTATGATCATTTTCACAGATAGAATTAATTCATTTTAGGTGCTTAGCTCACACTGATCTCCTGAGGAGCTGCACATCCAAAAATTGGCCTGATGGCCTTCAAAAAACAGTCCAGTGCTTGTGCAAACCTTCAGTAAATGAAGGACAAGCCAAGGATTTCAAAGCAGCAGCAGAACCATTCTCAGTGTGCTCTCACACCTTCCAGCCTGGGCAACTCCTGCAGCCACTGAACTGAGGCTAAAATTCTGCCTCATCTTACTACACCAAAGATGAAAATAAATCGAGTTTGTGCCAGCATTGCCACTCCTGGAGATAAGGGACGGCACAGCTGAGATTAAGGAGTGAGAAGCTGTGTGAAATTGGGTTATTGAGGCTCTGTGAAAAGAAGAAAAGAAGCAGAAGTGCTGCAGTGGTGATTCCTGCTGCAAGGAGCTGTTTCCACACCAGGAAAATCGACCTTACCCAGAACAATCAGCTGTGCCTCAGCCTCAGCAGCATCCAGGGCAGTGCTGGCCACACATGTGTAAACTCCCTGATCCTCCAGGAGCACACTGGATATGAACAGGGTATCCCTGTCCAGAATTATCCTGCAGGGAAAAATTAAAAAAAAATAATAAAAAAAACCCTCACAAAACAAGAGGTAATAAGGATGCGAAAAATACATAAGATGAGCACGACACACAGACATTGTTCTCTGAAAAATTGTTCATAAAAGAACTTGGCACTGGACATTTTCATTAAATAGCTGCACACTGGGCCTGTGACATGAAAATGTCATTGTGGCTCTGCTCTACACTGTGCTGAGGATTATTATTTGTATTTTGTGGCAATTTAGTCTCCTAAACAGGCTGGAGGTTGGCCTGTCAATCCTGCCCTGAAAAGAACCACATTGAGATGCACTGGATGAACCTCTGGGACACAGGATTTTGGCACATCATTAATGAGACAAATACATGGGGTTTATGATGGAGTTTTTGAAAGACTGAGGGAAACTGAGCATTCCCAAGGCACTTGTGTCATGTCCAAAGCACCAGGGAAAAGCTGCCAAGAATCCAGGGCCATGGGCTCTATGGCAGACATGGAATTTCCATGGCACTCCTCACCATCCTACAAGGGCTCAGCAGGATTTTCAGTCTCTCAGTATTTGGGAAACCACCTCTCTCCTGTGGTAATTAATAAAGACATCTGATTGCCCCCCCGTGGCACCCCTCTAGCCCCTTGAAGTCAATGTAAACCCAAAAAGAGGGCAAAATTCAGCCTGGACCTGCAAATCCTGACCTCATATGTAGGAAAAATCCATGGCAGAATCCCTGAAACCTATTTACCATCACTTCAACATTGCAAACACTTTGTTTTGGCCAAATAAGTGCAAACTATAAGAAAATACTGGTTCCATTGAAGTGGAGAAACAACCTGCACTGGGGTCAGGGTTGTGTTTTTGGGTTGGGCCAACATTTATATGATACATAAAAATATATATAAATTATGTGTATATTAATATATAACTTCATATTCTGCTATGATGGTAACAGAGTTAATACACCCAAACCCATTTGGCTCAAAATGCAGATCCATTCACGTGTCACATGAAGAATTCTTTGCAGACAAAAATTTGCATTTCAAGCTATTAAGGCTCATGTTTAATGAGCCTCCAGCACCAGCAGCACAGCAGATTATCCAGCTGAGATCAAGAACAGCCCTTGTTCCTTCCCCACTCACCTGCCACCTTCTGTGCTGTTGACTGGCAGCTCATCTCCATCCTTCCTCCAGGATAATTTAAAACTGTGTTTCAAGTGGGAATCATACTCAGCCTGGCATTTCAATAAAATTGAATGTGATTTCAGCACTCGGGGGTTCTTGGGAGTAACAACAAGTTTTGTAGCATCTGATTGATGACAGAAAAACACTTTGATTAGGTGAGAGAGGGGCTATTACATCAAATTTTCACCAAGCACTTCATCTACACAAATCAACCTCAGGAGCAACAATCATGTCTCTTTTTTTTGTTGTTTTATGTACAAACATTTCAAGTGAAGGATGGTGAGATTTGAAATAGGTATTTGCCAGGATTTCATTTTTTTTTTAATCTTGAAACATTTTTTTCATCTTCAAACATTTTTTATCTTGAAAACGTTTTTTAGTTCGCTCCAAACCAAAGAGCTTCAGAAAAAAAATCCACCCAAAAAAAAAAAAGTTACAGGTGAAAATCCTTGTTAGCAGCCTGTCATGAAATGGATGGTAAAAAAAAGAAAAGGTTCGAATATGATTTTTATGTCTAATTGCCATTTGAAATAAGCTTTGGCGATGATCCAAGAAAAATTAGAAGCTTATTAAAGTCAAGTGAGAAAAAATTATTGCAATCAAATTTGTTCTTTTAATTGACTGTAATCTGAATGCAGAAACAGATGAATAAGTAAGAAGAAAGCTCTTAGCTGAATTTATTTCTGCAGTGAAATGTTGCTCTGTGAGAATTTCATTGTACATTTTCATGTTTATAATCACTGTAAAATTCCCAAAGCCAGGGAGTGGGTGGAAATGGAAAACAAAGAGTGGGATTTTTCCTCAAGGTTGTCACAGCAAACCTACATCAGAGAGCTTTGCTAATTGAGTATTTAAGCTTTTTTTTTTATTATTGGCAAGCCCTAAATCCTAAGTAAACTTGTATAAAACCCACTAAATGCCACCTGTGGGAAAACCTCTCCTGCCAACCAACCACTCAAATCCCTTAAAACAGAGCTGCAGTGCAAGGGATGGATCTAAAATTTATAAGTAAACACATCTGAGGATTTTTTTTTTTCTCTGTTTAAAAATATTCATCAACAAACAGGCAAAAGCCCAGTGCAACATGTTTAGTGTCCACTGTAGGAGTTAATCCAGTTTGGGATGTGCCTTCTGATCAAGAGATGGGAAGGAATTTTAGGGAAGGGAATTCCTAAATCCCTGGAACACATCTGGATCAACAAGGACCCCACCAAGCCCAGGAGCAGAGGGAAGGCTCCCAAGGGTCAGCCACGAGCCTGCCCTGAGTGTAACAGGGCAGTGACAAAAAGGAGGGAAAATCCTTTCAAGATAGTGTGCAAATGTAAAATTTTGGTGGCTTGTGCAGCTTCTGCAAGCATCCAGAAGAAAACGAGCACCACGTGTGAGAATGGAGAAATGCAGCTGAAAAGAGACCTGTGACAATTTCAGGTGGTAACATCCAGAGAATTCCTGAAGTCCCAGAATAAACCTGTACCCTGGAATGAACATTTGCTACTTCCTGAAAAATTACAGACATAAAGTCTTAGCAGCTGCGAGGTTTTTTGCCCTGTTCTCACCCCTTATATCCAGATTAGCAGTGATTGCTCTTTTCCCCACAGAATTGGCAGCCCAGCAGGCGTAGGATCCCGAATCCTCCTTCTTGGTGTCCCTGATCTCCAGGGTGCCGTTCTTGTTTAACTCGTAACGAAAGGTTGAAAGGGGCTCGATGCTGTCGTCCTTAGTCCTAAAGATGGCAAAAACAGGCCTGGGTTACTGCAGGAAGTGTTAGATCATGGTTAGGGGTTGTTGCAGGAGAGTTTTGGGACTTGGTTTTACCGCTGAGCAGTTAAAATTTGGATTAGTGAGACACTTTATCCATGTGCAGCAAATCATGAAAGGACTTCAGAGTCCTGCACACCAAACCTACAGGGAGTGAGTCTAAAAAGCTCCCTAAAATACCCTGTCTTTAANACAGCTGCCACCTGCAATTTTATTGCATCTGTCACCTGCTGTGACAGTCCTGTGATTTCCAACCCTATGGGAGCATGTCCAGGTAAATGTGTTCTGTAAGTCACTGCGTTTCCATCTCAATAATGTGTCCAAGCTGGAAGAGTTGTCAGCGTTAAACTGATGAAGCTGCAGCAGCATTTGGCTATAAACAGCACGGTTTTCCTTAATGTGTAGCCTGGCATTTATCTCAAACAGGTATTGGGGACTTCTAGGAAGTCTTTTTCTCCAAACCAGTTCTTCAGAATTCTTAAAAGTGCATTTAAACACAGAAAACTTACATTATCTACAGCTTAGCTGCAGATTTCTATTCTTAACTCCACAGAAATAAGAACTAGCAGACTTTTCAAACTTGGGGAAGCCTGCAGGAACTTGTTTCACATGAAAAAAGAAAAACCAATTCCCAGTATCTTACCATCTGACATCTGCTGCAGGTGAGGCAAAGATGTCACAGTGCAGGAAGGCACTGTAACCCACAACTGTGGCGTAGTTTTCCCCATCTGGGGTCAGAATCAGGGGGGCAATATCTGCAGGAGAGAATGCAAGGTGAGCAGCATTGCATTTCAGAGCTAGGAATATAAAACATTGGCGCTGCATCCTCCCCTTTCCCAGCCAGGGTGAGAGGCTGAGGTGTTTAATGGGAATTTCACAGTTGTTTGGAAGAGTTGCACTGAGCAGCTGAGCTCTCAGAGATAACAGGGGTTTACTGCTGGACATGTCAGAAATTGAAACATCCAGGAGAGAAAACAGACCCAGCTCTGCTGCCTCCGGAGATGTTTTTTGTTAAACTCCCCTCACTCCCTTTCTTCAAAGAACAGACTGAGCATCACAACTGAAATCAAAAGATTAAAAATACACTTAATAATTCAAAACCAGCGTTGTGGTCACAATTCAGTCCCCAGCGGTTTCACTGTGTTTGAATTCACGTTTTCAAGCCCAACCACAACCATGTTTTTGAAATATATCAAAGCTCAGGAGCGTGTGTGCTAAGCACATAACGCTGCCCACGATAAAACCTGCGGCACAAATTCAGACGGTATTTCTGTAAACCTGGGGCCAGTCCGAAGGAACCAGGAGATGGTGACAAGCCCCAGATGCTGTGAGGACTCAGCCTGGGGTTCCTGGCTGTGATCTCAGGGAGGGGACAGCCCTGGGCACTCACTGAGCACGTTGATGTTGGCGCTGGCCAGGATGGTGCCGTGCTTGTTGGTGGCCTCGCACTGGAACACGGCGCTGTCCTGCAGCTGCAGGTTGGTCAGGCTGATCTCCCTGGTGGAGATTCTCCCTCGGAAGGTCCTGCCTGGAAAACACCACATTGTGTCAGGAGCTGGAGGAGCACCGTGACTGGGGAGCTCCCAGGCTCTCCTCGCTGCTTGGAAGCCAAAGGAAACATCTGGAAGGTCCAACCAAGACCTTGCCCTGCAGCTGGTGAGTTCCAGGGCTCTGCTTTTGCCAGCAGTCCCATGGCCTGGGAAAGTGCTTCAGAGCACCAAATTCCCTACAGAGACCTTTTAAAATGATAATAATAATAATAATAATAATAATAATAATAATAATAATAATAATAATAATAATAATAATAGTGATAATAATACTGCTACACAAGTGCTCCCCAACCACTTGGGCTTGCTCAGAAGCACAAAGGGGCCCTCGAGCTGTCCCAGATCCCCAAAAGATGGGAGAATGAGGTGAGGCAGAGGCAGCATCTCAAAGGTACCACTGCTCCACGTGTGCAATGTTCACCACCACCCTCTTCGATAATCCTCTGTAAATATTAGTTTATTTAATTCAATAAACAATTCATATCTAAGTAAGTTCCAAACCACACCATCACTCAGCGTGCTGGGACTCGTGGGTCCCCTCAAGCTGGGTGATTCAGGCACATCCCACCTGGACAGGCCCTGGAGCAGCTCCCTGGCCCCTGCACCTACCATCGATGGGCATCCCATTGAGCTTCCACTGGATGCTGGGCTCGGGGTTCCCGATGGCCTCGCACAGCAGCACCAGGTTTGTCCCCACACTGTAGACCCCACCCTGGGGCTTCTTCAGCCACTGCGGGGGCTCTGGGAAAAGAGACACGACAGGGATCAGTCGATGCCTTTTTGGGCATAATAATAGAGGCCAGAGAAAATTAAAGGAATAAAAAGCAGTTATATTTATTGAAGGCAGATGAAGGTCCCCAGGGGCTGCACCCAAAAATGGATGATGGGTCACAGGTTTTCACACTTTGATAAGTTTGGGCCATTTCCATATTGGGGGGTTAATCTTCCAATTACAGCTCCAGGTAATGAAGTCATTTACCCCAAGTTTGCTGCCCTCAACTCACTTTTATTTACAATTCTCAGGGCCTGAGGCAGTGAGGTGTCCTTGATTCCCAGCCTGGAGAGGAATTGTTGTGTCTGCCCAAAATGGGAGAGCAGCAGCCAGCACTGGACATGGAGTTTGGGGTTATACACTAAAGAATTACAGGATTACAAATTGATGAAAAATATAAAAGCTGCAATCCTAAGGCATCACAGTCACAGCTCATCGTGTGCCTCTGCTGTTGCTGGGATTCTCCAGGAGATGGCAAACGCCACCAACACTTCCCATCTGCTGCTCACAGCCCATCCAGAGGCTGAGCTGGATTCCTTGTGCTTCCCATGTAAAGGAAAGGTAAAATTTCTTTATAAAAAATTGATATTGAATAAAATACGCACCAGCATATGCCAACCCTGTCCTGCAGGCTTGGTGAGTGTCAGGCAGGGTGCAGGAATGGGCACGAATGCACACGGGAGGGGAGAGGCTGGGAAGGAGGGAATGGGTCAGCATTTCCACAAGGACCCTCAGATGTGAGTGTGATTTATGAGTTAAGGTGAGGCTATTTCAGCAAGACAGACAAGGTGTGAATATCCATCCAGCTCGAATCCCCCTCTCTATGCATGAGCAATGGCTCCCACCACCTTTCCTGGGGGCTGACAGAGCTCCAGGCCAGGACTGATCCAGCTGCCCCTCTCCCTGTGCTGTGGAAATGCACCATCACCCTGATTTCCTGCTTTCCCATCGTGTATTCAGACCAGAGGCTGATCCATAACACGTTTGGGAATGGTAAAACATTCTCTCAGCTCTGGGGATGAGAGGTTTGGGTGCCCACAGGGTGGTGGTAGAGGAGCAGCCATGTGCTCCCTCTGCTCTCCTTCCCCAGCTATTCCAGGGAAGATCTGGGAAAACTCTGCTCTGCAGAGCAGCCCTGAGCATCAGGTACCCAAACCTCTCTGTTAACAGACATCCATAATGAGGGAAGGGAATGAAAGGGAGAAAAAGAGAATTTATCTCCTAAATGCTTAATTCATTGATTGAACAGCTCTCTGAGCCTCAGTGGGCAGCCTCAACCCAAAACACAGCCTTGAATTCGTAATTTCCCCTTGAATGGCACCAAACTTAGAGATTTCAGCACCAAACCTGACACTGCCTCTTCTGCAAGTGCTGGGAAGATCACAGGGTCTCTTTCCCTATTAAAAAGGTGAGCTAATGTAGGGAAAATGTGAGGATTCATTAGTTAATGCTCATAAAATGCTTTGAAGATTAACAGAACTGCTGCCTGGTAATACAGCAACAGATGTTATCAGTGAGATATGCTGAAGCAAAACATCAGTGCTCACATTCACAAAGATATTTTTTAAAAAACACCCCTAAAGTGTGATGCATTTCCACACCCAGACCAGCATTCCCACACAAGAGCACTCAGGAATGGATTAATTAACATATAAAGAACCGAAGTCAAATTCAAGCCACTAAAGCTTATTTAAAATGATAAAATCATCCCTTTTCCTTCACACAGCAGGGATTCTTCTACCAACATCCTCACTCAGTGCTGCTTCCCATCCCACAGTGACATGACCACATCTGTTAAGCTTCCTGGTATTTGGCTCCAGGGAAAAAGACTCTGCAAACACCAGAATATTTTGGTTTTGCAGATCTTTTTTTCCTTCTCTCTCATATACATCATGGTTTCATCAGGAAAAGATTAATCAAAGGCAGGGAGGTGAAAAGGTTTGCAGCAGTCTTGATTAAAATGCTGGTTTGCAATTTTTCCTCTAAATCTGCCACAAACTGAGACAGGATTTGGAGACACCAGGCACAGGCTGAACACAAACCACCTGAAGGATCCTTTCCTGTCTCCACACTCTGGAAGTGTGAGCTGAAATTTGATGTCACTGCTCTCCTTTCTCAGCACTGCAATTGCTGTGGCTGCTCCAAGGAAGTGAAGAGGCTGTGAAGTCAGAGGCAATGAGATTTTGCCAGGTGTGAAATGCAGTTTCACAGAAAGGCTGAAGAGCCTCTTTTCCACATGGCAGATGTGCTATACTGCTTAAAGTGTACAAAATATAACAAAATAAACACATCTTTTTTAGCAGCTACAAAATCCAGGGGTTGGATAATCAAATAGTTAATCTGGAATGGCAAATATTTCACTGCATCATTCATTCTTATCAAGAGTTATCAATTTGTTTCTCCTGATTGATTTATATCCTTATAGGAAATACTGACAGATCCAGAAATGAAAAGTGATCGAACATGGGCATCTGCAGAGCAGGATCATCTGCATCTGAAACACCCACAAAGGATCCAAAGCTTCCCCCAGCCTCTCCCACTGTGTTTCCCCCATGAGCAGAACAAATTTGGGACATCCAACCAGCTTCTGCCTGGCTGCACTTTAACTCTGCCCTGTCTTCCATCATCACCCCCAGGGAACTTTGTGGAGAAAATTCCATTCCTCTGAAGGCTGCTGTGCAATTTCTCCTAAACTAAAGATATCTGTATTTTTTCCCCAAATTTTGAGCTCTGTGAGCACCCCTGCTGCCTTCTCCTGACCTTTCCTGAAGAAGCTGAAGTTGTAAATCTGCTTGCTTTAGGTGAGACTTCTCATTTCTCAGCAGTCTCTTACAACAACACTTTTCTTTCTATTTGCCAGGCTGATTTTTGCCTTTTCTGCCAGACTAACACTTCCCAGCCACGTTCCTCTTGCCATCCAGTGGATTCTCCCAATAAACCCAACCAGGCATTTCCCAGGCTGTGCTGATGAAGCCAATTAGTGCTGCCTGGTGAGAATTGCTCTGCACTTGTGCTTACTGAAGCCCATCTTTTTTATCCCACACCGCTTTCCCAATTTGTCAAGTTTGCTTCAAATTCTCCTCCCAAAGGCAGGGAATCCATCCCACTCCAGGACCAGCAGCAGCTGCTGTTGTCACCTTGGGCTCTGCATCCCTGTTGGAGCAATCTTCCAGTGAAACAGAAAGTTTGAGCCTGATTAAAACATCCAGTTCAGCTTCCCATTAATTTAATCTCTTTTCTTTTACTCTGGCTGAGTAATAAAAGTATTACGAGACATAACTGCAAAGGCCCTTAGCTATTACATTATTACTATAATTAATCACTATATTGTAACAATTATTTCTATTAAACCCCACCTAGGAGCCTCAATCCAGATCAAAGTAAAGTTAGATCATTATAATCCAGCAAGATTTGGGGGTTATACATTCATTTTCTCTCAGGTTTGGTGAACTACAAATAATAACCAAATAAACACTTGAAGTCAAAACAATTTGTGGGCTTGCTTTGCTGTTTTTTTTTTGGTTTTTTTGTTTTTTTTTTTTTTAATAATTCTCTCTCATTTTAATAATAACAGTGGGGTTTTTGTGCCTGCTCAGGTATTCCAGTCTACATCTTCCCTTGCAAAGAGAGATTAAAATGCTCAAACAGCCAAGCAATTTGCTTGCTGAATATTTTCATATGCTTGGTAATGATTACCTGAATCTTTGCCCTCAGACTCGGTAGGATTAGCAAGTGGGCTGCATGCAAATATCATTAAAATCGATATTTAGAAGGGTGGGGTGTAGGTTTGAGGTCCTGAAATACCAGAAAGAAGAGCAGAAAGCGTGGCACAGCGACAGAAAAATCCTGATTTACACGCCAGCACTCCGCTGAGGATGGCTGAAGGTTAACAGCAGATACTCCTCCTTCCATATTTAATTTTCTTCTCCCTGCATGCATCCTGTGAGAGGGACCTGTCAGGTGTGAGGAGCCCTCCCTGAAGCCTCCTGAAATGAATGCTCAGGATGTGCCCTGGAGTGAGCTCACAGGAGCTGCTGCAGCAGTGATGAGTGTGGCCCTCCCTGATGAACAACAGCCACATTTGCTGCCCAGAAACTGGAGGAGACAGCAGTGCTTGGGCTCAGGTTTACCTTGACACCTTGGATGTGAGGTGACTCCTAATAGGAAGGATCCCTGCTGCTCCCAGCAGCCACCATTAGTTACACGCATGGAAAATGGATTTAATAGCAATCGGGAAAGGATTTTCTTACACTGCAGTGGGATTATTTCCTTCTTTTCTCTTTTTCTAAGCATTTGTTTGTTAATAAGCAAGAATAACTTTGGCAGGAAGTTTTCCTTCCTCTGGAAACTGTGGGAGAAGAAGGTCAATATTCTAAACTGCTAAATTAATGTTGTTTCTCTGGTATTTCAGTTTTTGCAGCTCCTGCAATTTCTTTGAAGGAAATCGATTTTTGCAGCCGAGAAAATCATAGCCAGATTGTTAAAATATTCTGCTACAGCAGAGATGCTCCAAACCATCTGGAAGGATTTCTAGGAGTCAGCACTTCCCCCTCCACCACAGCTGAGAACTTGCCATGCCCTGGAATCCTCCTCTGCCACCCTTCCAGCAAGGGAAAGAGGAGACAAGGTTGGGTTGAGTGGATGGAGAGGACTCATCAGAGGAAAATCTTTTCCTCAGCTGCTGAGCTAATACAGAGCAGGGAGCTCAAAGTGCTTTTCTCCCATCACAAATCCAGTGACCACAGAGGGATGGGGAGCCCTGATGAAAATGAGGCACTTGGAAGGTTCTAACAGGGTAAAACTGCCAAGGATTTATTTTATTTTTTTTAAGTGCAGAGCTGAGGTTGGAGCATTTTTCATCAGGCAAATGTTTTCAGCAAGTTTTTGAGCTGGGCCTCAGTATTCTCAGTTTGTAGTTATTTATAGGCAGAGAAAGTGGCAAGGAGAGTTCTTGGCTCTGCAATGATTCCTCAGAGCTCTGCTGAGCCTGCTGCACACCTTAGGGTTTGGGGAGGAGGAGAAGGGGAAAAGGTGACAAAAAGGGTCATATTTCCATTATTTAACTGCTAAAAACAGCAGAAAGCATCTTTTCCCTTTGTTTCACAGGTTTTATGATCCTTTTCAGGGATTACAGAGAACACTCCCAGCTCAGGTTGTGCCCGTACAAAAATCACAGCAGAGGAACAGGTGAAGGAGGCAAGGGTGGCACTTTGTCTGCTCACTGAATTTCCACAGCCCTCCCTAAGAGCCCACTTTTAGTGGAAGCCAAAGAAAAGGATTTGAGCTAAATGTCCCTCTGATCCAGCCCAGTATAGCCATTTTCAGTTTTTAAAGAGCAAAAAGAATAATGAGATCTTTTTGTCTGACGTTCAGCTCAGTACGAGACATTTTATCAATATCTCTGCTTGACTCCCTCCCATCTTTAGAGTATTGAACCTGCTCACATATTTATATTGTTCCCAGGCCGTCATGGTTCAGGGGAAAAAACAAAAAGCATTATTAATATTTTTGTTGCTGTTGTTTTAGAGGTGTTACTTTGTGCAAACCTTCCCAAGATCCAAGAGGCTGGCATAAATTGGTGGAGCTGCTTGAGTCATATTAACAAAGAGCCTCCTCCACTTCCCTTTTCCCACCTTTTTGTCCCAAACCAATAATTTTAGTAAAGAGTTCTGAGCACCTTCCACATGCACGTGGAACTCGTGCCTGGCCCTGCCCATGGGGTTGCTGGCTGTGCACTGGTACGTCCCCTCATCAGCTGCTGTCACTTGGTCGATCTTCAGGGTCTTCCCAAAATTCTCTGTCTCTGGCTCATCCTTGGGCATATTTCCCGTGACCTTGACCCAGCTGAGATGAGGAGTTGGACTGAAAAAAAGGAAAAAAAAAGAAGATTTTTGAGTAGAATGCAAAAAGCTGCTGTGATGCTTCACGTGGAGGAGCTGCTGGAGTTCACACCTGGGGTTTGGGAGGTGTGCTTAGAGGATTTTGAGCTTTTAAAACTGAAAACTCTGGGGCTACCAAAGGGTTCCACTATACAGCTAACTCTGATGCTCCTTGTTCTGCACAACCCCTGTGAGTGAGATTTTCACCAGGGCAAAGCTGCATTCCTTGGATGTGTCTTGGCATGGGCAGCAGGAAAGGGGCTGAGGCTCATTCCATCCTGCTCCAAAAGGGCACCTGAGGACAGCCAAGGAGGGCCAGACTCCACTGCAGTGCCTCCCTCCTTGGAGGTGCCTGAAATGCTCTTCCCATCCTCAGAAAGAGCCAGAATTGACACAGAACTGGGGACAGACATTGTCAGCCACCCCGACCCCAGAGCTGCTGCCTCCTGTGCCCATCTGTCCCCGTGGCCACATGCCCAGGCAGGAGGCACAAAGGCCCAGGAACCCAGAAATTCTGCTGTTCCACCAGCTCTGAGCACAGCCCTGCAAAGATCCCGTTATTCCCTCCAGGAGCCTTCATCCCACTCTTGTCCCAAAGCCAGCTCCGAGGCTGTGCCCTCCTGACACTGCCACTGCTCAGGGTGTAAATCTTTAATAAATGGCAGATTGGAAATGTCCTTAATTCCCTGCTTTGCAGTCGGCTGCCCCTGATCTGAGTTCCTTGAAATCCACTTCCATGGTCTGTGGATATTTGGCAGGATGGATTGGCAGAGATGTAGGCATGGCTGATCATTTTTCTGCTGAAAATGGGAATTTTAGCGAAGTAATGTTTTATCCTAAAAGTTGCATTTTTGAAGGATTTTGATGAAAAGTTGTGCTTGGTGATAAGCCAAAGAAGTACTTTCAAAAGTGACTGCTTAAAAAAACCAAACATTTTTGTTCAAAAAAAAAATTTTCTTAACAGTTTCCTGGAAAATTTTGAGTGAAACAAAAATATTTCTTTCTTTTTACCTTTTCCCAAAGGGACAGAAAAACTTTTCTGGCTTTCTCTTCTTGTATCTGATATTCACGCTTGCACATCAAAATTCATATTTGAGTATTCCCAAGGTGATTTCCCTATTAGAACCCTTTGAAAACCCCTCTAAAATCAAGAGTTGTGGCTTTGGGGAGATTTGTGGGCTGGCAGATTCACTTGATGGGGAGTGAATTAGACAAGGAACTGTTGCAACAGGGAAGCAAAACTCACTGCAGATACCTGGAGTGAATCCAACAGAGACAAGTAATTCACCTCCTTTTGGGAATGCCAACTCCACTCCTTGCCAGCTTCCACCAGCAATGCCCTTTCAAGCCCATATGGAAAAACAAAATGCCCTGAACATGTGCAGGCAGATAAATATCCTGACTTTGGAATTTTATGGAGGGAATGTAATTGCAAAGCCTTTAATAGGAATTATCTCCGTGTGAAGCAGAGTCTGCAGCTCCACGTCCAGCACCAGGGGATGGTGATTTAAAGCTCTGCTCTACACAAAGCTCTGGCCCAGCCAAACCAGAAGGGACTCTGCTTTCACTGGGGGTTTAGTGGGTGACAAATTCTCTGTTTCTCTGGTGGCAGCTTGATTTTTGCACAGCCAGGCACGTGGGACAAACTGGGAAACTGGAAGAGCAAAGCAGGGCTCGTGGCTGAGAGAGCTGGAGCAGCAGCCACAGCCTGGGAAGGGAATCACAGCTCCCTGTGAGGGTGACACTCAACATTTATTTCACAATCCCTTTCCTTACTTACCCTTATTTTGTCCTGTCTTATTGACAAGGACAAAATTGTCCTGATTTCCCACCATAAAGCAGCTATTTTAACCTTTCCCCATATTAATCCTTTCACTACCAGAAGGGAGCCAGCAAGGTGGAGAAAGATTATTTAAAACAGCTTAGAGTGGCAGGACAAGGGGGAATGGCTTCAAACTGAGAGAAGGTTTAGAAGGGATATTGAAGGTTTTTTTAGGGAAAAAACTCTTCCCTGTGAGGATGGGAAATTATTATTACATTTTGAGCATTGAAGAAAAACTGAATTGGCAAAACCAGAAAAAAAATGTTACAGGTTATGAATAAAAGCACTGAAGCTGCTGTTAATGTTATTTAATTTCTCAACATCTCAAAAGCAGCACTACCTAAAAAAATTCAATTTTTTTAATAGAACAATAAAAAATATGCCATACTCACCACACTATGGTTTTAATGACTTGTTTACGAGCTACAGCAATAACCAATAAACCACTGTTGTATGCACTCTGTGCTGCTTTACAGCTACAAAAAGCTCTGCACAGGAGTTCCATTTAAAACTTGCATCATTTGTAATATCCCTTTTCCTTTGCTCATTTCTACCTCCAAAGGTGATTAAGTTTGCTCAGCATTTTCATTACTCACAGCCCTTCAGCAATACACTCGAGGAGCAGGACACCTCCCTTGATGACAGTGACTGATGAGCTACTGCCAGCAGATTCAGGAGGGATCAGCAGTTTGGGTTTCCTTTCCTTGATAAAATTTGCTGAAAGATAAAGTAAAACAGAAGTTAGGTGGGAAATCTTGGATATGCTTCAATAATGTCACAAATATCACTGCTGTCAGGTTTCTGACATTGATTTGTGGGGTTTTTTTTTTATTTATCCACTCTGAGGCTAATGCAGGAACCTTTATTTCCCCTGGTAACAGTCAGAAGGGAGCTACAGTGATATCAACAGGCAGCAGTGCTGGGAAACTCCTTTTCCTACAGTTTTATACCCAGTTTTCCAAGCAGTGGCCCTTCCTATCACCCCTCAGGCAGTCTGATCCTCTCAATTCCTGATCTTTAGGTCCACAGCACCTTTCTCTGCACTGGCTCCATCATCTTTTAAACCTCAGGTGAAAACCCACCTTTCCTGACCTGAGCATCCCACAGAATTGTCCCACCTGCTTCCAATTATTAAATCTACAGTAATGGAGATACAATTTGTAAGGAAGACTGTAAAAATAATAAAACAAGATTGACTTGAATTTGATTCCAGCAGCCCATTTGTTCCAGCTTGCCAAACAAGGATTTTAGGATGAAAAATGCAGGGTTCAGTGGCTGCCCAGTCACTATCATAACAATTAGCACACTAATGAATCAGTCCCCAAATGGAGCTAGTTCTTAAAAAATAGCCAGTTATGGATGATTTGGTAAAAGACCACATAGATCTCCCTGAACCATTTTCTCATTTTTAATTTTAATTTCCCCTTGCTTTGTATCTGCACAGATCTGTGTCACAAGTGCTCTGAGCTGAACACGTTGGTGCCTCTGGTCACACTCACACATTTCCCATCTGCCCTCCACCTCCTGCTGCCAAAGGCAGCCAGGCCCCCTTCCCAGCACGAGTTCAGACATCCCTTCCAGGGAAAAACTGCTCCTGGAGGGGCAGGCACGGAGCACAAGCCCTGCCTGTCCTGCTCCCAGGGCTCAGCTCCACGGGCAAAGTCAGAGCAGTGATGAGTGCTCTGAGTTATCCATCCCAAAACACTCCAGGATAACCCCCTGTTCAAAAACCTCAGTGCTTGGCTGGCAAAAAAAACCCCAAACTCCCTAGAGGAGGTAAAAAAAAAAAAAAAAAAAAAAAAGTAAAAAAAGAACTCTTAAAAGCCATTTAACCAAAGAAATGATGAGCCAAGAGCTACAGACTCTAAATTTCATACATATGAAACAAAAGGAAGCAGGTGGAGAATTGCAGCCACCGTGCTGCCTGCATGGAGAGCAGGATATTTCCAGGATCTGCTCCACACAGAGGGGCAGGCAGAGCAGAGGGAGATGGGAATCCTCAGGATGAGAAATGCTTTGCTGCAGTGACACACAGGGCACCTCCATCAGCACCGAGGTGATGGGCACAGCCCACACAGGGCACCCAAACTCCCTAAATCCACACCCTGAGCTCATCCTGGAGCAATGCAGCCCCAGGGTGACCCGTGGGACACGAATTCGTGGTGACAAACCTTGGCTGTCTTATCCCAGAGTCCTCTTAACTGCCAGGAAAAGATCTGGAGCATCCAGCTCTGAACTGATAACATGAGAAACCCAGGACATCAATGTCATCACTTCCACCTCCTTACAAAGCATGAATGACCCTTTCTCAAGTTAAAAAAAAAAAGCCTTTTTTTATTAAAAACCCTGCAGATTGCTCTCAGAAACCACAAGATGAGCTGATTGTGCTCCCTGGACCGCTTAAATCCATCCCATCACAATCAAGAGGCTTTTGTGATGTGTTTTTGAGCAGCTCCCATTTCACCTCAGCTGGTGGAGTCTCAGTTCAAAGGCTAAAAACAGATGCATTCAACTCACCCTTAGTAACAGCAGCGTTAGGTGAGCCTGAGTCATTAGCATGCTTTACTGAAATAAATAAAAATGACAACCAAACAAACATGCAGGGTTGAGACAGAATCAAAAGAAACCATAAATTCAACCAAAACAAAACCATGCTCCTCCCCACCCCCCCAGTTTCTGCCCCAAAAGAAAGAAAGGATGAAAAATATAAAGGAAAGCAACAGATGAGAAACAGAGTCTTGAAAATACAATGGAAATGCTTTAAAGATTTGTGTTATTCTGAGAAATAAAGGGTGATATAATCAGCATTTCATCCTTGCTATCTACAGTAATAAACATCACTAAGCATCCACAAATGCTATAAAATATAAAAATGTATAAAATTCTCTTGTTTCCTATTGCTTATTTTTGTTCTGTTTGTTTTTGATGCAGTCCCTCCCCAGGCCCTTGGCACACAGTGGTGTGGGCAATGTCAAGCTGAGTTTACAGAACCCTTTCAGTTCATGCCTCTCATCTTTGCCTGGCCCAAGTCCTGTGGCTTTGATGAGAAGGTGGACACACTGAAGTGGGTTTTTGGGCCACTTCCAGGGCTACCAGCAGCCAAAACCCATCTTGTTTTTCTCTAATCTCTCTGTGCATGTGTGGGGGACTGAACCTATTTGAATAGCCACGGAGACCAATATTTAATTTGGATGTTTTTCTCACAATTATTATCCCGAGATATGGTCTAAGCAAGCATTAAACACACACAACCACTATTAATCCTTTATCTTTTTCTCCCAACAAGAAAACTCTCAAAAATCACATATTAAACATGAGGATTTCATTCATGAAGACAAAATTCTCCTTGGCTTTCTGGGCTGTGTAGGCCTGGAAGATCTGAAGTTTTAATGAAAAACTGAAATCTTACATTCCCTACACATCATTTCATCACGGAACTGGAAACACCTCTTGTGTTTCTGATGCTCCAGGCTGCCTGGAAAAACCTGGAAAACATCATCCTTCCAACCCCACTGCTGCAGCTGGACCAAACCAGGCCTTGCCCAGCAGGGAGGTGGCCAAAAAATCCCCAAAACCCGGTGAAGTCCCATCCTTGGGGACCTGCTGGACCCAAGAGCAGCAGATTTCCCTGAAACATCCTTGGCTTTCACTGTGGGGACAGCAGGAGGAGGGACAGGGGACTTTTGGGGTCTGATTGTGATGCCTTAGGATTTTAGCTTTTATATTTTTTAGATTCTGTATTACTTTAGTGTATAATTCTAAACTCCATACACAGTTCTACTGTATCTCATTTTGGTGAGACACAACAATTCTTCTCTGGGCCTGGGAATCCAGGACACCTCACTGCCTCATCCTGAGAGATGGAAACAAAAGTGAATTGGGGGAACAAACCTGGGATAAATTACTCAATTACCTGAAGCTGTAATTGGAGGATTAACCCCTGATATGTAAGTGGATTAAACTTATAATTGTCTGAGAAACTCGTGACCATTGTCCATCCTGGGTGTCCATCCTTGGAGGCTTCTGACTACCCAAGGTGTATCTATTGAAGGCCTTTAATAAATATCCATTTTATTCTCTTAATCTTGTCTATCCTCTGACCCAGGCAGCCACTCCAAGGCATCAGTTTCTGGCTGATTTTGCCCCAAGATGGGACAGGACACACTGATACCTTGGCACGGCCACCTAGAGCAGAGGCTAGAGCTTTTCTCTAGCTTTTCTCCTTGAAATCCAGCACCAAGAACGAGGTTAATAACTCAGGGAATAAACTCAGCAAGACTTCAGAGAGAGCCAGGGCACACATGTGCGTGCCCTGCTGCCTGGGGAGCTCAGAAGCCAAGAGCAAAGGCAGAGCTCAGAGCTCAGAGCTCAGAGCTCAGCCCCGCACTCACAGCGCGAAACCTTCAGCGTCATGGGCATTTTCTGCACGATGGTCCTGAGCCTGGGGAAGGCTGCAAAGCAGCAATAGTCACTCCTGCTGTCACTCTCCTCCACGTTGGCAAAGTAGAGATCTCCCTTCAGGCTCATGGACACCCTCTCGTCCTGCGGGATGTGCTGCAAATCTGGCAAAGGAAAGGAATTGTGAGGTGGGAGGCTCCCCGCCTGTGCTTGCTTCCAGATACACAGAATGAAACTCTGAAGTGAGAGAGGTGGAAAATCCAGCAGAACCAATGGGTTATTTACTAATATTCAGTATGCAAGTGGTAAAAAAATATTTTTAATATAATAATATGTACCTATGTTACTGATAAGGAAAAATCGATAATTAAGAAACAGAGTTATTTTGCTTCCCAAAAGCCAAAAATTCCTGCAGAACAGAAATGCTGCAGAATAATGGGACAGAAACCCACAATTAAATTAAATTATATATAATTTATATATATATATAATACAGGTAAATTGTATAAACCTGCTGGATTATTTTTCCCTTAGTATGATAAATCAATTATCAATTTATGGAAAGAGGAAACAGTGATGATAGAAATAACATTGACACATGATAGAAATATTGACACACTGATAGAAATAAATATTGACACGTGATATCCTCTCTCCTCTAAATGCAGGACTCCTCATCACTGGCAGACTCACCAATATATAAATTATTTGATATCTGATATTTAATGAGATGCTGTGTCAATGCACTCAACAATTCAACTTTGGGTCATGTAAAACCAGATCTCCATCCTCCATTTTCAAATGTTGTTCTTCAATATCCAGATATTTCTCCTGGGCACAATTACAATTTTTATCCATGATGACTGCAATGAAACTGCTCTGAAAGACAAATACTTTGAGCCCCCCTTGTACAAACTGTGCAAAAACCATTTACTCACCAATATTCATCCAGTAGATGTGCAAAGGGGGAATGCCTTTTGGGGGGTTGCAGTGCAGGATCACAGAATCTCCATGCTCCACATCCAGGGGCTCGATTTTCTCTTTGGGAAATTTTGGTACACCTGCACAAAAAAAGCAAAGAATTTATTGGTACCTTTTGAAATTTTGCCTTTTGCTTTCCCCTGGATACAGTTTTAATCAAATATTTAATTTTACATCATCCTTTGCATTCTCTGCCTTTAATACCGATTTTAATTTACACAGAGGCACAGAGTAATGATGAGTTTTATTCAGAGTAGGAAACTCCTGCATTCTGGGACACTCAGAACAGGAATCCCTTCATTCACAAAGTTCTTGGAGCATCCTATCCAAATCCAGGCCCTGAATGGGGATGTTTAACACTTGTTTGTGATGTCCTGTGCCTTGCTTTGGCTTTATTTTAACACAGCTCTTTTCAAACACTTTCTTTAGCTCCTTTGTGCTGTCTGGAACCACTCAAGGCCACAGGGTCCCCAAGGACAAGCCTGGCACAGAGAGCTGAGCACTGACAGAGCTCCAGCTGCTCCCAGGAGATCAGAAACCAGCCTGGGAGTGTGGAATATTCTGGGAATCCTTAATAAAACACGGTTCTCAAGGTTCTGCAGGTGAGGACAGACACCAGGCTCGTGTCTGGAGCTGTCCCAGCTCTTCTCCATCTCCAGGAGCAGGGGGAGGATGATGTGAAGCCTCTGTTGCCTCCTCAGGCAGGGAAGCCCAGCTGTGGATCCCTGCAGGCTCAGGGTGCAGGGACAGGTTTGGCACAAAGCTCCAGGGCTGCTCTAGCTGGGATTAAACACAAGTTAAATTGTGAATGGATCAATCTTTCATCACCCACAGCACGGGATGCCAGCATTTTGTTCAAAGCCTGATCCGTGCTTGGCACACCTGGGCAAATTGGGATGCCCAAAATGCCACTGGAGCTCATGTGGGAAAATGGGGAGCAGAGCTGGGCTGGAGCCCACCCCAGACCAAGGGAGGCTCAGCTGGGAGATGATCACAGAGAAAAATGGAACCACTCCTTGCAGGAACTGAGCTCAGGCAGTTTCAGGGCTGACGTCGCCTCCTGCTTTCATTTCAGGCAAGCCCAAACTGGCCAAAGTTTCACTTCAGACCAGCATCCAGCAGCAAAATGAGCAGCAATTAAACAGCAGAGGATGGAGAAGGTCCTGGCTGTGCAGAGTCAAAGTGGCACAGCAAACATCACCTCCCTGGTGCCCAGGACAGCTCTGAGAGCAGCTCCACACCTTGAGACATCAGTGGTCCAGCAGGGAACCTGCAACATCACAGGATGCAAAGGAAAGGAGAGGGGCAGAAATGCTGGGACAGGACTCTGAGGACACCTCACACACCTCAGGATTAATAAACATGAAAAGAAGCAATCACTCCAGTGCTGATTGCCTGAATGCAGACTCTGCAGAGATTTTATCTCCAGGAGGGTTATTAATAGGTTAGGAATTCTTAGGAGAGGCAAAATGTAGCTAATGAGCATCACCCACCCTGTAGGTGAAATTTCAGGTGAAAAAAAGAGCTGCATATTCATATCCAGCACCTTCAGTAACCTGCACTCTTCCAGCCCTGGGAAATACATCTGCTGACTGCAGAGCTGGAATATTTTCCAGCAAGAAAAAGCCAATTTCTTGATCTAAAGCTTATTTATTCCCCAAAGCACATCACTCAGAACAAAACTTTAAATTAGCTGGATCAGGTGAAGGATAAGGGATTTCTGAGCATACCAATGAGATCAGCAAATGGACTAATATGGGATCACTTATGTAGGACATTGGAACCCCTTGTTCAAACCCATTTTTGCCTCATTTAGCAGAACTAAATCTGGGTTTCTGATATCCCAGCTGGGTGCCATAACCACTGGGCTTCTCAGTGAATTTCTGTGGCCAGTAATTACAGAATTATACAGAAATTTACTGAGTCCCACCAGGAGACAGTGACAAGTCACAGTCCTGGTGTCATTAGCTGGCAGCACAGACATTCATCTCCAACATGGGGCCCAGATGTTGGCAGCTGGACTTCACTGGGGGAAGCAGCAATTTGACCCCAAATGTCCTCCACCTCCAACAAGTACTTGCACCACAGGTGATCAGGGCATTTGGGTCTTTCCATGCTGGTTTGTTTTCTTTTTTTTTTTTTGCTTAGTTCACCATGAAAGGCATTGAAAAACTTTGATTTTCATCCTCATAAAGGATAAATTTGAATGGTTTAATCCTTGAAGCTTTACAAGAGATGGAAACTCATGATAAATTCCTGAGCCAAACCTTCTGACAAGCATAATTTTTTTACTTAGGTCCCACTGGTCTCAAAGACTAGAAAAATACCTGCTTCTGAATTCAGATTTATTAAAAATAAAAAGCTTCTTTCACATTAGACTTTGCCTTTTGCACATCAATCTTCAGGATGTCTATGCAGGCAACATTTTGAATCTTTTTGCAGGGCTTCTGCAAAAATTAGAGGATATTGCAGAATCAATCACCACTGATTTGTGGCCGATCACAGAAACCATCTGAGCTAAATTCCACAGCATCACACAAAATAAATTGTGCCATGGAAGTGTTTCCTGTTGTACAGAGGTCTCAGTGCAGCACACAGCCCTGAAAAATCCAGCTGATGTCCCTGCAGTGACAGCCCTGAACTGTGAGGTCAATATTCCATGGAATTCCTCAGCCAGGGATGGGATGAGAGGGCACAGAGGATCCAGCTCAGCTCTGGGTGCTGCTCCCCACACACCCACAGCACAGGGGACAGCAGAGGGATTTAGTGGCTCTGAGAAAGGCCAGGAGGGCTCTCAGCACACTTAGATCATTGGGTGAGAGTGGAACAGCCCTGGGGAAGGTGGAAACCAATTCCCAACAATTCCCAACTCCAGCTATGGAGAATCCCCTAAAAATCCCACTGTGACACCTCTTCAAATACTCCTGGGAAAGGCTTCGCTGACCAAGGGGTTTTTTTCCTGACAAGGCTGCACTCAAAAACCAGAATTGAACTGCTCTGACAGTCTGTGAACCATGGAAATGGAAGATTATCAGTGGCCAGGGTCATCTGTGCAAGGAGCCAGGATCTGCTTAATCCCTGGGGTGACTCAAAGTTTAATGGCTGAGCTGTGCATGAGACCAGGCTGAAGCACCCTGGTAAATTTGGGGGGCTGGGAGAAAATCCAGAAAGGAACCTGAGTCTCTCCACCTTATCCCTTCAGAAAATGCAATTTCTCAACTTAAGCAAACAGGAGGGAGACCAATAGAGTGCAATAGAAAGGCTTAATATGAGTTTAGCAGAAATAGAGATTCAGAAATGCAGCAAGCAGAGCTGGGAACTCCAGTCCCCAGCATTGCTCCAGATTTACTCAGAAATCCATTTAGGACACCTTGTCCTACAGCTAAGTTTTTGTCCTACTGCTTATTACAGTGACTTCACACCAAAACTGTATCAATTATGGCAATTAATTCCAGTTTATGTGAGAATGGAGCCCATTCCATCACATATTTTACATGTCTTGGGGTCAAATGTTGAGAAAATGGAACAAAGGAAAAGCATTTCTCCAAGTAACTTGTCCTTGAGATCCCAGTGTCTTGTTTCTACCAATATCAGGTGTAAAATGGGAGTGAATTCAGGATGGTAAATCAGCAATAAGCAAATACATTGGGAAATTATTGTAGAAAAGCATCACTGCAACCCAGATCTGGTTTTATAACCTTTCCTGTGGATTCTACTGAAGATATCCTGGGATAAAGGAGAGCTTAGCCTGATCCATCCTGGACATTCTCATATTTTTCCTTTCAAATAAACCCTTAAAGAGTGTAAAAGTGAGGCAAAGCAAAAATAGTCAAGAAATTTCTATAACCTCGAAATTTCCAGCTCCTTAGACACTTAAATTAGTTTGTAATTATGAGTTTTCATGCAGATCTGTATCTTGTACAGCAAACAGCCCAACATTTTAAGGAATCTCAACCATAACTTGCAGTCCCTGATGTTGAGCTGCACTGAGTGAAGCTTGGGAAGTTTCCAGGGCTCATCTCCATGCCTCAATTGATATTCCAATCCATAGAGCAGCAACAGTAGTTAAATCTGTAATTTCCATTGCAGCCTTTGAACTGTTTATGAGATATGACCCTGCTTGTTTATGGATTTTTTAATTGCTGCCTTAAATTGAAAAAGTTAGCAAAGCCTGGCTGTCAGAAGAGAGTGGCTGGGACTCCAATCTCTCCCGAGGATGTGGAATGGAATCAGTCACAGCTTTTTTTTCTCAGAGATTTTTAAATCTCTGTTATCATTTTCAAAGTGATGGCCACAGGCAAGAATCAGAGTGAGCTCAATAATTCAGGTGGCCAGAAAAGCTGCCACAGATGCAGGTCCCTGGCTCAGGAGGTAAGAGGGTTAAATTTCATTCCCATCACCTGCAAAGTCTCAGTGAATTGTTCTCTTCTGTTTTCTCTTCCATAAAGGCTACACCAAAGCCTTGACAAAACTGAGACCTCCTAGTTCACTATCAGCTCAGTATTTTTACTGATTTCAGGATATTCACACCTGAGTGTTTGAATATTAACTCAGGCCTGGCTTTCTTTGGGAATTCTTGCATTAACATCACTGGCAGAGCACAGCCTGCCACGGGAAGATTTTACATTCAGCCAATATTTCCATCCTCAGGTCTCTGATCTTTTGGAGCAGCAGCTTTAGAAATACCGAGCATAAATCTTAACTCAGTCTGCCATGAAGAGTCTTTTACAGCACAGTTAATTAAAGAAGTTTAAACTGTACTTCTTCTCCTTCCTCTGGCATTGGGCCTGCTCACTAATTCAAGCAGCAGATTCCCGAAATGCTGGAGGAGGGGAGCTGAAGTCTGTGTTCTCACCATTTAAATTCATTTTCATGCTGAGTGTATCTTGTAACAATCTGGCCTTTGTTAGTGCTGCAAACACATCGAGATCCTCAGAGCCCATTCTTCCCCCTCTCCTTAATGTCATCCTACATAGGGGAGGTGGGGTATTTTCATTATGTAGGTGAGATTTAATGATCATTTCTGCTGACATTTCTATTGCTTCCCTGGAATGACTACTGTGAGTAAACAGTCTTTTGTTCTCCTTTTCAGCAGCAGCCTTACAGACCAGTATTCTGCTTCTGCAGTGGAAATGTAATTTATGAAAGAAGCTGCCCTGCTCTGCCTCGCTGGGGTTTTTTTCCCTTCCCTGGCACGGTGACTTTGCCAAGGAGCTTTACATCTGACTTGAATGCAGCTGGCACAGCTCTGCCACCTCTGCACCACGATCATCAAGGCACAGGGTGATCTCACATGTACCAGTCCCTGCTTCAAAACCTGGGGCTGAATGGAGGGAATTTATCCCCAGCCCCTCTGTGGCAGGCTCTGATTTACAGCAGATCTGTGCACCAGCAGCTCTTTCACTGGAGCACAGTTGTAGAGCATCCAGCACTTTAGAAAATCAAAGGTGCCTTCTACTCCTCTCTGAATCCTGATTTCATTTGCAGCTTCTACACTGCACCCGTAAATGAAAGAACTGATGGCAGAAGAGGTCTAATAACAGCAGATGTGCTTTAAAAGATGTGTGAGTTGGATAAATCCCTCTAATACTTATCTGTACCATGTTGTTTTTTGGTTTTTTTTTTTGCTGGGTTTAGGACTTTGCATATATTAGCACTAAATTCCTCTTGATTTTGATAGCAACCATGTTTGTAACCTCTCCACAAATTTGTTGCCATCCACTCCCAATATATTTAATATCTACTTAAGCTACTCTAGACTGTTTTTCATTAAAAGCAAAAAATCTCTTCTCTGAATATAGATTCAATAATCCCAAATACAGACATCAACTCCTTGTTTTTCATCTTAAGCATCTTTTTTAGTTCACTAGCAATGGAGTATCAGAATATTCTGCAGCTGGAGGTGCAAACATGACACTGAGCACTTTAACTCCTCTCAAATGTAATGAGTCTGAGATATTGAAAGAGAAGTTGTATTAACCCCACTGCCCTGGCCAGACTCCAAAGTGAAAAACGATGTCCTGTTTGAAGTGTAACTGCATCACTGTCCTGTTCCTGCCTGAAACTCCAGCTGCCATCAGCTGCCCTGTCCTACCTGTGGAGCCAACAGTTCAATAACCCTCAGCTCACAGTCCTAAAGCTTTCTGCAATTCTCCTCTGCTCTGGAAAGCTCTTCCCTTAAAACAGCTGCAAGCTGCTGGAGACTAAAACCACAGAGCAACACCTGGAATCCTGTTAATTCCTCCTCAAACACCAAGCTCTGGCATCAGGGATTACTGTGCAGCACATTGCAACATGAAACAGATTTCCCAAGGGAAAAAGAAATCCATAAATCTGGACAAAAGGAAAATAAAGCATGTCTGTCATGAGGAGCACTCATAAAATAAATTTAAATGGCATCCTCAGCAGGTCCCTGCCAGGAACCCTCCCAGCCCTTTTAATGTCTTGTTTTCAATGTGCCCACAGCACCACGACTCTCCCAGCCCTGGCTATGCCTTGGATGCTTCTCAGGATCCTTTCCTGTGCTGAAGACAGGACAAAAATGTTTATTCACGTTTCTCATAGCCCATTTCATCTGCCCTGAAGTGTTCTTTGTACAAAAGCAGCCACCTCCTGTCACTGTGGGGCTGGGAAGGCTGTGGATGTATCTCCTGCCACATGGATTTCACCTGAGCATGGAGCTGTCAGATATCTGATAACAAAAAACTGTAGGAGCTTGGAAATGCAGGATCTAATCTGGAAAAATCCACTGCACTGCTGCTTTTCTCCATCTCTGCCACTGAACTGCATCACAAAACCTGCTTCAGGTTCTGACCCTGCTCCACCATGGAGCTCGAGAAGTTTCTTGTCCTTTCTACTCCCACAGGAAAGGTTCTGCTTCTGATTTTCTTCTTTTTATTTCGTATGTTTCAATCCTGAATTTAGAACCAAAATGTGTGCTCATATTCCAAACTACAGGTGATTCAATGGATTGGTACAAACCAGTTGATTCAGCTTTGGGCCATGGGTGAATGTTGAACCTGGCTGGGCTGGGTTAAGGGTTGGACTCCAGGATTTTAAGAGCTCTTTGCCAACCTTGATGATTCTTTGATTCTATCCATAAATTTCATCCCACTTCTACAAACCTGGTCCTTAATTCCTCATTTCCCCCTCTGCCCCTTCCTCTGTGCTAATAGTGGAAGCACAAATTTCTAGGATCAGTAATTTTCCCTGCTTTGTTTTCAAGCTTGTTTTCCATTCAGTTCCAGGGCTTTATTCTTCTCCCCATCAGTATTTATCCCAAACTCTGAATGCTGCTGACATCAGATTAATGAACTCATAGCTGATCAAATCACTTCCCCTGGAGCTTTCAAACATTTGCATCCATTGCTATTTTGCAGTAATAACCTGTGGGAGTTGATAGTTCAGTGGTCTGAAATCCTGCATCCAGATTTGGTTTCTGTCCTCAAAACCAAGAATTAAATTAAATCATTCCAAGGAGAAAACATGACTTTTTTCTTCCAATGTTCACTGAACAACAAACAACTCATGTTTTGCCATGCACCACCTCAATGAGTGGTTCTTTCCCATTTATTTTGGGGCAAGACAGTTCTCCTCTTAGTAATAAAATTAATTATAAGTTCAAACCGAAAGTGAAGCCCTTACTTGGAACAATCAGCTCAATTTCCTCTGACATGGCAGTTCCCAGCAGGTTGGATGCAAAGCAGCGATATTTCCCTTGGAAATTGTTGATGATTCCCCGGTTTTGGATCACAAAAGTTCCAGAGTTGTTAGATGTAACTATCCTCGGGTCAGATGATAAATCAAATGGTTTCCCATCCTTAGTCCAGTTAAAGCTGAAAAATAAAAGAAATGTTAGAGTTGACAAGTACCAGGAGAGCATTTTGGTATAAATCAGGGGTAAATGTGGGGAAAATCAAGAGTGTTTTATCAAACAGATAAAGAGAGGAGAGATCTGAATGGAATGCCCACTGTGCTCCCCTGCCTCCTTCCACACACTCTGCTTTTGGACTGGCTGTGACACGACACAAGAGCACAGGGCTTGGAGCAAGGACAGTGACAGACAGAGCATCTGGGAAAGGCACCCCTGACAGGACCTGGAGTCCTGGAATTGCTGCTTGGGAATGGCAAAGATCCACAAGAGCTTTTCCCACCCTCTGCCATGGCTGAACCAGAAGAAATTGAGATGATTTCACTGAGGTTCTCCTTGCCATAGAACCATTTGTAGTTTGGTGCTGCTGGAGGGTGATTTTGATGAATGCTAAAGGAATTGTCACAGTTCCTGTACCTGCAATTCTCAGATGGATTGAAATTTGCTTAAACTGATTTTCCACACAGCTGGAAATTAAAGTGTAACATCAATTTAGTAGCAGATGTACCGTTCTTTTTTTGTTTCAAGAGAATAAATAATGCCAACAAAACTGTTGTTTGGGCATTTCACTGCTCTTGGCAAAACTGCCTTGCTCCAGGATGGAGGGAATATGGAATTCTTGCTCCAGGATGGAAGGACTATGGGATCCCCCCACCAAACAGGCACTACCACATCATTTAAATACACCAGAAAACTTTTCATTGATGCACTGACAAACAGTGGAACAAAGGGAATTTGTTATCATGCTACAAACCCCCATTCAGAGCTCAATTAAAAAAATACCAAATTGTACTGATATAAATAAAAGAATGCCTTTTAAAGTTTAAATTGTATTGCAAAGAAAGGAGAAGGGAAGGATTAAAGAGAAAAAATGGCATTCAAGCCAGCTATTAATTGGGCCCAAACACCATTCAGTGGTGAAAGCCTCAGGAGGAGTTTTTACTGGGTTATTATTGCACTCTTGTTAATCATATTTTCATTCAAAACCATTCTCTCCTTCACACTGGTGTTAAATGCACTGAGCTTATCTTTGGATATTTACCTGAATAACTCCCTTTGTGTCTATCTGTACCATCACTACAGCCCTGCTGATGCTGGGTGCAGACAAGGTATCTGATAAAATTCACATGTGATGTTTGAACACACAGTTTAATGTGTTGGGGATTTTTAGGGTTGCTGTGGAAGAGGCAGAGGAGCAGCTGGGCCCCTTTGATTACCATGACACAGCCCATCTTTTGCAGCACAACCCACACAAGAATTTTTATTTTTTTTTTTAAACCACGGGGTGAATTTGGCACGTGCCAAAGAAATGAAACATCCCCCAGCAAGGAAAACCACGTTGGTACCTATTCACAGGGTGAGGGGAAGTGATGGAGCAACAAAAGCTGAATGGCCTGAATGGAAAACCAAACCTTAACCCCACTGAGGAGGATGATGAGCAGGTTTTTGTGCAGCAGCTCCTGACAGACACAACAATGTTTGGCAAAGGTTAAAAGCAGACTCAGCTTCTGTTTGCTTCTCCAAGCAGTACTCACGTGGGCTGGGGGTTTCCTGTGGCCTCACATTTAATGGTGAAGTCCTCATCAAAGGGGTAGGCAACCTGGGTGTGGGACTGCTCTGTGATTGTTGGAAGCTGGGAAACTGAACACGAAGAGGAATTGGGTTAAAACTCCGTTCCAGCCAAATTGGGCTCCCCTTGAGTGGAGAGGGACAACGGCAGGATTGCGTTATTCCTGCAGAAAGTGAGGCTTGGGAAGAAGAGGAGCATCACCTCCCTGGCAGGGACAATACCCTCTGATCCCTGTCACTGCCTCGGGGACCAAAGAAAGGCTGGCAGAGGGACAGTGCCCACCCTCACCCCCCTCCAAACCCAGCCAGGGCAGAGCTGGGACCACGCCAGAGCCAAAGCCAAAGCACGGGGCTGTGCCCTGGCAAATTTATTGCTAGGTGAGGTCAGTAACTGGATTTAACCCAGACACAGATGCACACACATGAAGTAGCAAACTGCTGCCTCCATCCTGGATAAAACTGCCAGGAAAATCCATGGACTGCAAGGCTGGTTTAATGCCTGCCCCAGGGTGCAGCTGCGTGGTCACACACAGAGGCTGCACTAACTTCTCCTTTTTTCTGAGGGAATTAAACGTTACAAAAGCCTGTGTAACAGAGGAAGGAGAATGTTCCCTGCAGTGGAGCCGGGATAATAGGATCACCCCATTGTTATAAACAGGCAGGAAGAGAATTAAAATGATCTTTGGGTGCTGCTTTAAGTCCAGGGAGCTCAAAGCTGGAGTGAAATGCAGTGTCTTGTCATATCACATGGCCTCAAAGGTGAACACTTCCAAGCCCACCAGCTCCACCGATCAGAAATAACTTTTTATTATGATATAAAATGCTTCATTACAGCTAATTAAGGGTTAGGTGGTTCCCTGGGGTAGGTTCATAAAAGCAGTGGATGCCCAGAGAGTTTGCCCTGTGCTTTACAGTCACAGCTCCACTTTGGCTTTATTGAAACACAAGGAGCCACTGCAGTTCCTCCCTGAAAAAAAAAAACCAAAAACCTCTACTTCCCAATGCAAATTTGGATAGTTTTACAAAAATATCCTATAAAGCTGCTTGGTAGGCTTCCTCTTTGCAGCCAGGGCTATTGGCAGGCTCCAGAGTGCTAAGAGCTCATGGCAGATCCACAGGATGCCCTGAAACTGGCCCATGTCCTACTCTGGGACCCTGAAAAGAGCCTACATTTATTATTCCTTAGGTTTACTTCTTTTATTTTCCCCCACCATAATTCATAAAGCAATATCGTTGAGTTTTCCTTTTTTTTTTTTTCCTTTTTGCAACCGAAACCACAACACAAAATGCAGTTTTCAACCCTCCTGGCCCATTTACGTCTGAAAAATGCAAAGCTCAGGAGGTCTGGGCTGTACTCCAGGCAGAGGGGTCCTCTGGCTTCCCTTGGATTGTTCCCTGTGAGCCTCATCCCATATTTTACACATGTCCTGGAAGCTCATGATCCGTGTAAAACAAGCAGTTTGAATTCATCCCAGCCGGCGAGGGATGCAGGAGCTGCTCCCCAGGGCAGGACACAGAGTGTGAAATCCTTCTCTGGGGACCAACATTTGCCCTGAGACATCCACCTGCTCCTTTCCCAGGCTGCAATGGCAGCTTGCACCATAAGGAAGGAGGGATATATGCACATCAAACAGGCTTCAGGGGGATTCAGAGCCGAAAATGAGGAATTGAAGTGAAGGACAAACCCAAACCCTGCGAGCTAAGCCTTGTGCTGGATGGCAAACACAGAGAGATGTTGTTAGACAACTTTACTGCTCTATTTAAGCAGGCCCAAACAGGACAGCTTAGTTTTTGATCAGAGCTGAATTTCCCAAAGGCCACATTGTGGCGAGATTAAACTCCAAATGGAACACAACTGGAAAGGAGGATTTAATATTTTTCCTTCGGGGGTAGCTGCAAAGGAATACCAAACAAAACAGCAAAGTGCACAGCAAATAGCTACAACTCACCTGATAATGGTATTTCAATAGCTGCTGCCAAACTCAATACAAAAAAAAACAGGCATATGGTGATGCCTTTTGTGCTTAATAGCATCCCCATCACTCTTCTGTAAACAAGGAGTCCAAACAGAATGAGAGACACCTTATGCTTCTGCTCACTGCCACTTCAAATCAGGCACAGGGATGTGAAAGTGGGAGTCTGGTGAGGAGAACAAACAGCAATATTAGCTTGAATATCAACCCGGGTCTGACAAGGTTATTAAATTATAGCAATATTTCTGATTTGCTGCTAAATTGCACTAAATGGTCCATTTTCCTCTCACCCCGTCCCCTGGCTTCAAGAAGAACCTCTATTTAAATCCTAACAAAAAAACACACGCAAAAAAGTACAGCTCTATTGCAGCACAGAAGTATAATTATTTTTTTGCTGTTTGGCAATTAAAAGTAGGGATGGTTTAGAATATGGTGTATTTGTAATCATTCCAGTTCATAAATTTTTCTAATGAGACTTGTGTAAGTTGGAAAGTAATGTAACAGATCTAATGAGAGAAATTTGGTACACTAATGACCTTGTTCATAAATCTCATCTGTCTTTTATCTTTCATTTATGCTCAAAGAAGGACACCACAATCTCATTTAGTTCATTATTAGGAACCAGAACATGAAACCTTTGCTTTTCCCCCACAGTTCCAGAACTACTCTACGTGAGTTTTACACATTCCATTAGACATCCTTAGCTTCTGAATTACAAGGCAAAAATGTTGTGCAGCTGCAGAAAGGAGACAGATACAGCTCTAATGAGCGTTTAAGTGAAATTCAGAGGGAAATAAAGAAGATAATTCCGATTTAGATCAAAAATCAGGAAGAAATTCCTCCCTGTGAGGGTGGGCAGGGCTGGCACAGGGTGCCCAGAGCAGCTGTGGCTGCCCCTGGATCCCTGGCAGGGTTGGACATTGGGGCTGGAGCAGCCTGGGACAGTGGGAGGTGTCCCTGCCATGGCAGGGGTGGTAGAAAATGATTTTTAAGGCCCCTTCCAGCCCAAAGCACTCTGGGTTCTGTGATTCTGCAAAAGTGGGTGCACAGAGGATTCCAGCTGCCAACTTCATCCACGGTACCTGAGCGAATTATCAACAAAATGTGCTTACCTGGGCACCCTCCAGCACTGCTAAGGGACACCAGTGTCAGGACAATTCAGCCCTCAGTTGTCAGGATAACCTTGAAATAACACTTTTGAACACGAGTCCACTGTGCAGGAGCCACGGGCTGAGCAGGCAGCCCAGCCTGGCATGGCCTGGCCAGCTGTGCTCCCCTGCAGCGAGCCCACAGGCAGAGCTGCTCCAGGGCAATCCCCTCCATGCTGAGCCTGCCTCTCACACAGCTCTTGTATCTTTGCACATCCCACCCCGTTAATCCAGGGATCAGAAAAGCAATCCTGGGATCACAGGAGCAGTTGGATGTGGGGACAGCAGGAGGTGGTACTGGGGATGGTCCTGCTTGCCAGCACAGCTGGAGCAGAGGCAGGGCTCAGCCACACAGCCCACACCCTCCAGCCCATGGGGCTTTTCTCCTCACGGCTGCTTTTCCTTACAAACTGACATCTCCCTTTCCCCCCAGCACATTCCCTCTCACATCCACTCCAAGATGAGCACAGCCTGTGCTGCTCACCCTCCCTCCAGGATGAGTTCTGCTCACACAGCCACCAGCCCACAGAAACTTCCTGCAAGTTCACATCTGGGAGACCAAAATCCCCAGCTGAGGATTGAAATTGGCCAACGAGGGGCAAGCGACAGACACCATAATCACATAAGCCTCGTTTGTTTAGAAATGAGGCTAAAAACCAGATGTCTTTTAAGTATCTTAGGCCTGGAGTATTTGCTGATGGAAGAAGATGACTAATCTGCTTAGTGCCCCACTCTGCAGAAGGGCACTGGAGGGGACAGGGACAAACTCAGCTATCCTGGGTATAAATCAGCCAGAATCAGACAACACCAGCAGTTCTGTTAGTGGCAGTCGATATTCCCTCAGTCTGAGTTCTCCTGGCTCTGACTCGTGAGCAGTGGAGCTTTCCAAAGCTCAGCCTGCCCAAACCCGGGCTGTGTGACAGCACAAGGGACACACAGGACACGCAGCAGCCCCAGCCAGCAGCCACCTGATGGCTGCTGTCACTGCAGGATGGGGCTGTCCCCCTGCTCACCTGCTCCTGGCACACGCTCAGCCCAGATCTGTGTCACTGGCAGTAAAACAGATGCTCTGACAGAAAACCCCCTGGATGCAGAATTACAATTTAGGCTCATAAAAACCTGCCTGCAGATGGTGTGCTGGTGGCAGCGAGAGCATCCTCTCCCCCATCTGCTGACAGCTCTGGGGACAGGAGCAGGCAGGTCAGGATGGCAGCCAGAGGCAGGGGAGCTGGGATTACAGCAGCTCTGCAGCCTGCTAAGGTCACAGCAAGTTTTGTCTTAGATGAGTGTCACAAAGCATTGTATAAATTCAGATTAAATCCAAGAAAAAAACAAGAGTTTGATTCCTTAACCAAACCAATTAGCTCACACCTTATTTTTTTAATGAAGTGCCAGAGCAAAGCAGCAACATTCCAAGTAAGCAGAGTATCCTTCATCATGTGGTACAGCCTGACTTGCCTCTGCAGGCTGCTGTAATTAGCTGGCCTGTCTAGCACCTCACTCCTGTTCCCTGGCTTGAATACTAATGCTGGGGGCTGACAGCACCAGCATTTGGAAGCAGCCAGCACAGGGGGACCAGCAGTGCTGGACTTGTGCACATCCAGCAGATAATTCCACCTGGAAATCTCCCTGCAGCTGCCTGGGACCTCAGCTGGTTTATCCCGAGGGGTTTCCACGAGGTGCAGTCCTGGGGTGATGTGAAACAAGCAAGAGGCTCTTTGCAGAGATATTTACCTTGTGACACCCTCCCAGCAAGAGAAGCCTCCTGCTCCTATGTCAGCTATCCCTGCTGGAGTAACAGAGGCAATTTCCTGGCTGTGACAGTGGCTAGGGAATGCCAACACCTCATACCCCTCTCCCCTGATGTGTCCCACTCACTGTCCCTCCTGTGCCCTGCTCTGGGCAGTGCTGGTGCTCAGCTGGCAGCCAGGTGAGGCACATCCTCCTGCACGGACCTGAGCCAAGCTCTTCACTTTTTAAGGTGACTTTTAGGCAGGGCTGCCAAGCTTTAGGTGTTTAGGATGCCTGTCGTGCCTTTGGCTGTCCCATCAGGCCGAGGTGAAACTGCAGAGATCCTGATTATATCCCCCAAAGCACCCCCAGCCCCTTCCTTAATGAGCAATATCCTCCAGCAGCCCATCCATCCTGGCTTCAGACACAGCCACGCACCCAAACTTTAGGCAGCACAATCCCTCACTCCAGTGATGATTAAACTCCAAACCCCAACTTCCCAGCGTGTTCCAGCTCCTAGCAAATGAACAATTTCTCTGCCTAAGTGATTTGGAGAGATGACTGAGGGAGCTGTGCAGGCTCTTGGCAGCCCTGGGCAGGTTTGGGTCTCGCTGGTGCCAAAGCACAGCTCTGTCCTCGAGGTAGGAAAGTGCCAGGGACCACTGGCAAAATCCTGATATTGGGAAAAACATCAGCCCTGCTCTCTGAGCTGGGTCAGGCCCTGAGTCCTGCTTCCCACAGAATTACAGGATGGGTTGAGTTGGGAGGAGCCTTAAAAATCATCTTCTGCCACCCCTGCCATGGCAGGGACACCTCCCACTGTCCCAAATCCCAATGTCCAGCCTGGCCTTGGGCACTGCCAGGGATCCAGGGGCAGCCACAGCTGCTCTGGGCACCCTGTGCCAGCCCTGCCCACCCTCCCAGGGAACAAAATTCCTTCCCAATATCTCATCCATCCCTGACCTCTGGCAGTGGGAAGCCATTCCCTGTGTCCTGTCCCTCCATCCCCTGCCCAAAATCCCTCTCCAGCCTTCTTGCAACTCCCCTTCAGGTATTGGAAAAAAATTATAAGGTCTCCCCCAAGCCTTCTCTTCTCTTTTTTCCCAGGAATTCCACATCCTCCTTTGTTCTCACTGCATCAGCACTTGCAGCAGGGATGGGGGCACCCAAGAAAACCTTTTTTCTGCACAGCAAATGAACACGGATTGCCATAACAAATGTTAAATTTGCAAGCCCTCCTCTCCCTCCTTCTTTCTCCCTCCTCCTTCTCTTCCTCTCTTTCTATTTGCTTTTCTCTGCCTCAGGCTTAAGTCAAGTAATTTGAATTCACTGCAAATACTTATCTGTAGTTCCTTACCTGCAATTCATTATTTACTGTGCTGTTCAGTTAATAGTAAATACTGATTGCTCTAAGGACAGCTCATTTGTTTGTTTAATGAGCTGCCTTTAACTTACACTGAGCAAATCTTTCAAACTATCAGTATTTCCAAGGAGCAATGGAGTTCCAGATTCTTTTATTATATCCCCTTGCTTCCAGAAGGATGTCATAAAAATACTGGACAACCAAACAAGAAAAAAAGATTAAATTTCCATTTATCTCATCAACCTAGTGAACAATTTTCCCTACATGTAATTACTGCATTAAAATTGCTCACAAATAGTAGCAGGATGACAGCCAAAATTCCCAGATTACTGGTCTACCACTTCCAAGAGAAATTATAATGCACCACTAAATATGGCATCAACCTCAGCTCTTTGGTTCCCTCTTCAAATATTCCTTGTTTAAGTCCTGTACAGCACAAATCTTGAGGAAAGTAACAGATCCCCACAGCTTAACACTGGTGCATCCCTTGGCTAAGCTCTTCATTAGCTAGAACCAGGTTTAATTTCTCAGTGACATGGATGTTACACGACTGGTAAATATTTGTAATTAGAAATTACAGCCTCCTGTGTGGCCCCAGTTATGGAACAACAGGAAAAAAAAAACTCTGGGGGGGAAAAAAAAATTGTTTTCTTGTAGTAAAAAGTAAAAGTCTGGTTGTTTAATGATTTCACATGGAAGGAAGAGATGAGTTCAGTGCTACAGAGCACAGGGGCTCCACTGCAAAGCCTTCCAGCAAGTGGGGTGTGGAAAATTCAGCAGGTGAGGAAATGTGCTCCAAAGTGCTCCCAGAAGAGGGATGGCAGCCCTGGGTTCCAGGAGCTCCCAGAATGAATCCATCACCTCTGAGCTTCAACACACCTCAAGGAGCTCCCTACCTCACCCATTAGCTGGGGAAGGTGGAGA